TGGGCCTCTCTGGTCCTCCCAATTCTGCATTTTTGTGACAATCACAAAGGTTGGCCATTAGCCAGGGGCAACACTGAAGTGCCAGGATGTGACTGAGATCAACCAAAACTTGAGATCCTGACACATTTGGCATTGATTCGCTCACTCAGGAAATATTTATGGAGGTGCCTCTGGGCCAGGCACCAGGCTCCCCTCTGGGAACATCTCGAAACACACCCAGTCCACGTCCTTAAGGAGAGAGGTCACAAACTGGTAACAGATAAATAGCTATGTACCTGTGCTCTGAAGGGGCTGGGAAGGGGCATAAGGGCAGGTGGCTGCTTAGCAGGGTCCTCAGGAAAGACCTCTCCCAGGAGCTTACAGTTGGCCTGAGACTGGAAGGAAGGGAAGGAGCTGACCATGCCAAGGTCAGGAGGAGCCAGCCTGTGCAGAGGCTGCAGAGAGCAGCACCCACGCCCTGCTCAAGGAGCCACAGAGGGGCAAAGGCAAGGTGCGGCTGGGCTCTGCTCTCTTGGCCTTGTGGCCGTGAGGCCATGGTCAGGATCTGAATTTCTACGCTGAGAACAAAGAAAGGCACAGAAGGGGCTTATGCAAGTGAGCAGCATGGTCAGGTTTCTGCTTTTAAAAGATGGATACTGGATGAAGATGGGGAGGGGGCGTGAATGAGGAGGACTGAGCAGTGAGGAGGCTGTGACAGCCACCCAGGCAAGGGGTGAGGGAGGCAGCTGGGTCAGGGCCTGGGGCCGTGGAGATGAGAAGGCATGGACGCATCCAAGCTAGATTTTGGAGAAGAATCTAGAGGGCTCACTGACAGAGCAGACATAGAAGTGCAGGAAAGGGGAGTCACTCGGGCCACTTCCAGCTGCCCCTACACAGTGGCTTTGTGGGAATCGGGAAAAGGCCCCCCTTTCTCCAGGGGGATGCAACACGATGAAACCTTCCATCCAGTGAGGCCACAACCTACAAGAGGCCCCAAGAAGAGGGAGCCCCAGGTTTCTGCTCGAGCAACTTTGGACTTGCAAAGCTAGCAGTGCCTGTGGGAATCCAGGGAGAGCCCAGGGTTCTGTCCAAGATTTGGGCCCCATTTTGATGGTGATTCTGCCCTGCCCCCAGCTGTGCATGAGGGCACACCCAGGCACCAGCCCTTTTACAGTGCTCACGGCATTGTATGCAACCAACCTGGGGAAGAAACACAACTTAAAAACCCTGGAAGCTAATGGTACAACAAGACTATTTAGCACTTATATAAATGCAAGTTCCAGAACATCTGCAGCCAAAATGAAAGTAAATAATGACAGAATGTGAGTCATGGCGGTGCTTGCCTCATAGTCTACAAGCTTGTAAACAAAGCATGCTCCCGAAAGCAGAGCCAGGACCTGCGAGTTGGGTACCAATTCATCAGCTCCCAACTCCGTAACACAGGAAGGGACGTATGTCCTCATCAGCAAAACCATAACGGGAAACTTCGTTAACTAATTCTTCATTCTCTAGAGTTCACCCGAGACTGGAATGAAAAAGCTTCTCCTTGTAAGACCAGAGTACTTATTGTCGTGTTTTTCAAAAGAAATCACCACCAGTGTCAACATGAAGTTTAACATCCTGATATTTAGGGGGAAAACAAAACAACTGAGCTTGTAAACTTAAGAGATGAACACAACCACCCAGTGTTTCCCATCCGTGTCTCTCCCAGGGACCGATCCCTTTCTTTCTGGTAACAGAGCGTTTGGTAAAGACCTTGTCTCATCTGACCAGCTGCTCCCTGCAGGCAGAGTTGATGCCTCCTTCTGTCATCCCTGTAGCTAGCATTTGGCCTGGGACGCTGTTGGTGCTCATTAAATATCTGTTGTGTAAGTAAATGAGCATCTTCGCCAAAAGGCAAGTATTCACCCCAGCTATGGGTTTCCCTGGGGCCTGTCCAAGCAGAGGACAGACCAAAAAGGGAGAAGGGGTCAGGAAACAAGGTTTGGTTCCAGCCTCAGAGTCTACTGGCTGTTCTCCCACTTTTTAAGGTTTTATGTATGACGCAATGGGAAAGAGGCACTTGGAAGGCACTCTGCAAGTGTGAGGTGGTCCCCACCACGCCTTCCAGGGTCATTCTGCAATTGAGACGGTGGGACCATGCAGGACTCTGGACCACAGTTTACTCTGAGAAAGCCAGCTGGGTCAGCAGAGTGGATTTGGAGGTATAATTAATGACGGCAAAGTCACAGGGGAACATGTCTCCCAGGCCATGTTCTCCACACGTGGGAAATGGAGATCAGGGCACAAACTACAGAGCTAGCAGATAACACAGTTATGTGAGTGGCCTGTTATAATGCAATAGGGAATGGTGGGGCCTGCGGCTAACTGGAGATTACACTCATGCTCTGCCCAATGAACTTGCGTTGAAAGCTTTAAAACACATGCTCCATCAGACACAACATCTATGCCCTGCAGGCTGACAGTCTGAGACCCTGCAGGCTGTTGTATTCACGTGTTTTTTATTCTGATGCTTTGACATCTAGGGCCTTGTTGACTCTGCAGGTACGGTCCCTCCCAGGGTTAGCTAATTCCTAGAGACAGGAGCACGTCTTTCACGTGCAAACTAACCAATCCAGAGCTCTGTTGCCACCCTCCTCCTTTACTGGGCTCTCACACTCTGGGCCACTTGGCCTCATGACCCAGAGCCAGGTGCCAGACAAGTAGGGACAGCCCCTCTGCCCCAGAGCCCACGGAAATTATTCAGACCAGCCAATCCTAAGCCTGCTTACCCTGCCCTGCCTTTCCCCAGGAAACCACAATAAAGGCTCTTGCCCACGTTTTCCCTGCTCCCTCTGCCTCCTGACCGACCCTGGTGCTTCCCCAGTGCCCCTGCGTGGTTCGGCATGCCCCCTCCTCGTAGAAACTGTAACAAACTCCCTTTTCAGTGGCAGTGCTCTCCTGATCTGTTGGCCTCGCCAGACCTGAATAATAAAACCTACATGTGAAACTCCCCTAGAGCATGAATCATCACAGCTGCTGTGTTCCCCCTGCTGAATCTCAGCACCTGACAGTCCTAGCACATTACAGACACAAATATTGCTCAGTAAACGCATGGATGGACAGACACAGGGGGAAAGTGAAAAGCTGGGAGAAGCATCTATCCGGCTATGTGGGTTCCCTACAGTGTCACTCTTGCAATGGCCTCAGGAAGCTGAGTTCTGTCCATGCCTCGGTTCTGCAAGTGGCATAGACATAGGCAGCCAGGCAGGAGGAAGCTGGAGGAAGTGGTGTGAGTTCACGCTGGTAGGAGTCAGCTGTGGTTTAAGTTATAGGCCCACCATCCCACTGACATTCAGCTTTTCAGGCAGCTCCTAAGCAAAGGCTTTGCTTTTGGTCGAAAATCTTCCTGCTATCTCTGGCTGTTTCCTTTATTCAAATGCTTATAAAGAGAGCGCCACCTCAAAGGGTCTCTGAACTCAGAGGTAAAAGGGTAAAAGCCAGAAAGAGGGTTCTCAGCACACCGGCAGCCTCTGGGACCTGCCTGCACAGGCTCTCCAAAGGGAGCCCTGAGCGGGTTGTTCAGCTCCATGGTGCCCCGAAATTACACTCTATCTGCAACTGTGCCATGGGGTGGGTCTGCATCCCTGCACTTTTCTAGTTAGGAAACTGCAAGTTGAGCTAGAGAACCCATGCTGTTTTTAATCCCTACTCTTAGAAGTATATCGATCTACTCTGCTTGAAGACGGACTGAATTTCTCGGATGGCATGGCCCTTCGGTGTCATTCTCAGCATCACTCTCTCTCGTCCCAGGCAGAGAGAAGGTCCGTCTGGGATGTCCCGGGGAAACGGAGAACCCCCTGTAGGGGGATCGAGCATTTGCCACTTCTAATGAACACTCAGTTGGATGACTCCGTTCTCAGCAGCGAATGGCTCCCTGAAGGCCATCTTTTCCCAGGCCCAAGATGGAACGACAGGAAGCATTCACTCATAGTGAACGGACAATGAGGCTAGAAAATCTGGGGGAACCAACCAAGAGGTCACACTAGGAGATGGTCATCACTAGGATGACCATGAGAACTGGTTCACCCAGAACAGAACCAGCTCAAGCCTCTTATCCCCGTGTAATTATTAAACTCACTCCTCTTCTCTCTCAAAAGTATCCTGGTTTGATTGATAAATTATGCAGTCACCCTCAACATCAGGGAATTCTGCAAATGGGAAAGCCTGAGTCAGAAGGCTCACAAGTAACAGAAGCTGGGTGCTTTGTGTGCACAAATGGGAGTTTAAGGTTTGGCAAACATGCAGGAGCAGGTCTGGCAGCAGCAGATGGCGGGAACAATTCGCAGAAGGGGACTGTGCCTGACCTCGTGCTCTGCTGGGCTCCCCTCTAAAAGGGCGCGGGGTGCCTGGGCCGAGCAGGACTTCGCTCACAGCCTCTCCACCCAAGAAGAGGCTTTCAGAGCCAGCATGTCTTTCCCTTGTTGAAGTCTCACACCCGGAGGTAACCAGTCCAGCAAAGGGTAGGTGCACAGAAGAAAGGGTTCCAATGTCCCCAGAGGGGCTATGGGAGAAGGGAACATGCCACCACCTCCATCATTGGCACGGGCTGTGTGCCACATCCCGTTCAACATCACCTTGAGCTGCCATGGGGACTCTGAACAATTCCCCATTTGTCTTTCTTTCTTCCTGGTTGAGATCTTGTTTCTGTCAAGATGAACTATTTATCTGTGTTGCATGAAATGTCACAGATTGTGGGCAAAACCAGGACAAACTCACGCACAAGAAATCAGAACGATCTGCTGAGGCTCACACGCAGCTCCCCAGATCCGTAGAGGCCGGCAGTGATGAATTTCCTTTCCCTACCACTGAACTCGCTCTTGAGAAGTCTTTAAGCCAAGAAGTGCCCAAGAGACAACACCCCCGGTGGCCTGAGTTTGTCAGATCAACTCATTCTTGAGCTGATTCGCCAAGTAAATCTGTGGATATCACGACCCCTCCCACAGAGGCAGGGCAAAGACTTAAAAGGTAAGAGGCGGCTATAAGTTTCACCTGGTGGCCTCACATGACGTTTAATAAAGCTAAAAAATGCTTAAAGTGTCCAGTGTTTAAGGACTCTTTCCACCTTTTTTTGTGCATGTGTGTGTGAACTAAAACTTCGAAGCTATTCATTTTTTTATGTAAGATTAACCATCATGCAAAACTTACTGGTCAAGCAGTTAATAAAATACACATATCCCACTGAAGGGTTTTGTACATTTCGGTCCTTGCAGATAACAAAGCAATTATAAACCCTGCACGGTCCTGAGAGGGAGTTCCTCTGCTTCGGAAAGCTGCCAGTCCCATTGGCTCCCCGGGGGCTCATGTGTTATAAATTCTTGAAGCTCTTTTAGCTGCACTTTGAGCATCGGGTGCGTCTTCTTCCTCTTCCTCGGTTCGCTTGTGTTTTAAAAACAAGTCAGACTTCAAGAAGCGGCTGTAGCTGTCATACTTCATGAGGTTGAAGATCTAAGGAGGAAGAGAAAAAGAGTCTGAAGGATGAAGCTAATCAGGCCATGAATCATCCTCTTAAATATTTATTAAATAGCTACATGCGCCAAAGAATACAAATACGTGCAAAACACACACAAAGAGAGCTAAAGTCAGTCGTGTGCTAGACGAGGCGGATTTCCTGGATGTTTTGGGTCATTATGAAATAATCTCAATGGAGTATTATAGCTCAGAGAGTCACACGAGGAAATCTATCTTTATTTTCCACGGAAGTATAGATTCACAGAGCACTGATTTGTACCCTCGTATCAAGAAGTCCTTTAAGAATCTCTACTTTATTTGGATAGATAATCCAGGGACGTATTTCTCCAGGAATTTGAGACAGCGAATAGAAACAGCTCCTGTAGAGACGGTGGTGTTGTAAAGGCCACTATCATATCAGATGATGCCAATGTCGTCGAGACCCCCAGATCTGGCATCCAAGATCTCAAACCAACCTGTTATTATGCCCAGAAACAAAATGGGGCTTATTCAGTGCAGGGCCGGGGAGTGAAATTATAGTCTTAGCAAGGAGAGGCTTCGGGCACAGCCCTAATTAAAGGAAACAGCAGTCAGCTGCAGAATGAAAATCCCTGCATACGCACAGCACGCACACAGGCCCTGGAGCACGTCTCTGGGCAAGGAACGATTCTAAGGTATGCTTGTCAGATGCGAGAGGAGGACCCCTGATGGAGCCTAAGCTCCTGGATTTGAGGACTGCCACCTGCCGCACTGCAGGTCCTCAGAGGGTCGTCCCCCTCTCTTCTCAGCCCCAGTCCCTATTCCCAGCATCCCCTCTCCCCTACTCTATCCTATGCCCCCCTCCTCCCTTGCCCTACAAAAGGGGTGGGGAAAGGAGATAGAAAAAGGGAAGCAATTTCTGGCTGTCAAGGGGACAGTCTCATTTGAGAAATCTCTCTCTCCCTTCCTCTCTCTCTCAGGCGTTTCGACTGAACTTTCAGGACCTTCGGCAGATTAAAAATCCACACCTGCACCCTGCTGCCCTCACTGCACTACCATGCTACCATGGGCTCAACCCGTGGAAAGTTCCAGAGGTGTCTAGAATGTCACTCACTGCCAGGTGGGGTTATCAAGTGGGTGGCAAAACCCTGACATCATTTAAATCCGCCCTCTCCCAACATGCACACAAACTATTTTGTAAATTAAACATCTGACGGAGTCTAAGGACTCAGAACACCTGCCTGGGGGATGGGAGAATTGGAACCTTCGGTCTTTCCACCTTCATTTTCCCGAGACAGCTTCAAGCACAGGAGAACTGCCGAAATCATTTTGCTCTCGGCAGAGTCCATAACCCAGGGAAAGATTTAGGACTTTGGGTTTTCTTTAAACTTCGAAACTGCTGCTGCCCTTCCCCCAGTGGCCTTCCAGTCCTTTCCAACCGTTCAGACAGACCACACCTCTGTAAGCCCCACCTTGCGCCTCTCAACAGCAGTTACCTATTTTGTAGCAATCTGGTAATCCTAAACTTATTTGCTGAGGTTTGGAGAAATTATTAAAAAAAAAAAAAAAAAACCTCCCAGAAAATACAAAAATCATAGCCAGGGGTGAGCTGGAAGATGAGAAATGCCATTGTCATTTTGTGGGCTCCTACAAATGTGCTAAGCAGGTGTCACCATCCCTCACCACCTGTATTATGCAGCCCTTCCAGGCTCGGGAGCCCCCAAAGGGAACTTGGAGATGCCCACCTGATTCAAAGTCTGGAACGGATGCTCAAAGAGTGATGAATGAAACCAGCTCCATGAGTGCCCCTCCTGGCACCCAGCCCTACACCCCCTCCCACACCAGGTCCACAGCAGATGGGACCCACCACTGCCAGCAGGATGCGGTTCGACCCAAGCGTCTCATCTGAAGTCTCTGCGTGTGGGAGTGGAACATCCTGTTTGCCTGTGGTGGCTCTGAGGCTCACACTTCAAAGGAGAGAAAAAAAGGCCGGGGCTGGAGGCACCCAGAGCCAGAGGAGGCGGGGGAGGGAGGGCAAGGAGGTTCAGCTGAGGAGAAAGCTCAGGAGAGGCTCAGGGGCTGCAGGGCTCTCAGCCTCCAGGAGATCCCAAGAGACTGCAGGCTCTTCTCCCCCTCGCACTCCAATGGTGCCAGCAAGCTCGAGGGGAGGGGGCTGCGAACTATTTAACAAGAGCATAAGGGCCCCTTCCTGCCGTGGGCAGGTATGAAATGCCCCTAAAGTCCTTCAGGCTGGGCTTCCTTCTCCAGGAGCCCTCGCCACCTCCTGGTGCTGCTGCGGAGTCACTGGGAGACAACTGCAGCCATCAGACTCCCCGTGGCCTCATTTTCCAGGGCTGTGAGTTGCCGGATATTTCTGTGCAGGGCCTGGAGAGCAGACTTCCCGCTGGGCACTGGCCTAGAAGCCCAGGGCAACAGGGTGCTCCTAAGACAGGACCCTCACGGGTGGTGCGCAGCAAAGACCGGCTTAGAGGACGGAGAACGCTCCTAAAAACCTCTTCCAAGAAAGTGGCCGAAGACAGTGCACCCAGCTGCTGCCCACAGCCTTATTTATCACAGGGTAAATGGCCACAACAAGGGTCCAATAAATGTTCACCCAGCGAACGAACAAAAACCACTCAACATGCAACAACGGAGGGCTGGCAAAATAAATCAGGGTAGTGCCAACACTGTCAAGAGCGCCTTCTAACCACACACCAGGCAGGACTGGGGGGCTACAATTCAGCCCCTAAGAGTGAGCAAAAGAGGGAGGTGGGATGCAAACACTGGCAGTCTAGCTCTGGAGCCCACACTCCTAACTACTAGGCTACACTGCCACTTATATGGCAGACTGATAGGCAGTCATTAAAAATGAATTCTGCAAAGAGAGTTTAATACGGAAAATGTACGTGAATGTTAAATGGCTGAACACCAAATCTTGAAAATGCCCTATACCTAAAAACGGTGATGTCAAATATGTTTTTTAAGAGTGTGTTTGTATGTATAAATGGGAAATAAATATCCCAAAGGTCAGTGTAGGGGGTTGAACGGTGTCCCCCCAAAATTTAGGTCCATCTGGAACCCCAGAATGTGACCTTATTTGGAATCAGGGTTAGTTGAGGATCTCAAGATGGCATCATCCTGCCTGGAGTGTTGTCCTTATAAGAAGAGGGAAGGACACACAGACACACAGAGGTTAAGAGGGCCATGTGAACACAGAGGCAGAGATCAGAGTGATGCAGCTACAAGCCAAGAACACCAAGGATTGCCAGGAGCCTCCAGAAACTAGGAAGAGCCAAGGAAGGGTTCTTCCTTAGAGCATCCAGAAGGAGCTCAGCCACCAACATCTTGATTGTGGACTTCTGGCCTCCCAAACTGTGAGAGAATAAATTTCTGTGGTCTTAAGCAACTCAGTTTGTGATAATTGGTTATGACAGCCCTTGGAAACTAATAGAGTCTGCTTATTGATTTTACCTCACTGCTACTTGAGCACAGAAAACGAGATGGCCCTAGGGGCTCCAGAAGATTCTACAAAACCAGGACTCGGATGGGGAGAACCGGCCTCACCAGGGCTAGACTGTGACCCCGACCTGACCAACACATCTCAAGCTGTCTGCAGGGAAGAGAAAGAGGAAGGGGGAGACACATCTGGGATTCGGGGTGGGGCTCCAGGTGGGCGGAGGCCATGGGCACAGAGCCATAAAGCAGCCGGTTCTGAGAGACAAGCAGCCGACGAAGCAGAAAACTCAAGTTGGCAGCTAAGTTGCATTCCGTGCCTTTTTTTTTTTTTTTTTTTGCCAAGACAGCTGTGGCTCAGCAGGTTTCGGGTTTTGGCAGCCCCACATCTGTGAGCTGCATGCCCAGACTGTAAACTGTTTAGCATGGTCGCCTGGGCATCCAATCCTGCAGGCCACTGGAGGTGGGACTCTCGGTGAAAAAGGAGAAGGGAGCCTTTCCGCCAATGTGCAGCTACGCACAAGGGCCCCAACACAAGGCCATTACACAGCCAAGGCGCCCCTCCCTCTCCAGAGCCCGGCCAGTGGGTGATTGATTGGGGCTTGCCTTTCTGCAAGGGAAAATATCCACGCGGTGCTCCAACTTGAGAGTGTTCAGAATCGGCTGCTCCGGGAAAGGACCCGGGCCCTGAAGCATCCTCATCCGCACAGAGGACGAGCAGCTTAACCAGCCTCGAAGGCCCCTCCATGAAGGCTCCAGCGCTGTCTCAATTAAGTGCATTTCAAGCCTAATAAATCTTTTAAGACTTCTCAGAAGACAAGGACCTTAAAAGACCTAAACTCCACATGCGTCCTCCTTTCTTTTCAAAACTCTCCACCATGTTATTCCAACTGGGTACAAGGAGGAAAAAAATAAATCCTTTAATGCAACAGAAAGGTTTTTAGTGGGATTTCATATCTGTTTCAAGAACTAGGTTTAGTTCTTATGTGGAAATTGCTGAGAGAAGGCGGCAAGCGCCGCTGTCTGAATTGCAGTTCTAGAATGTGCTCTCTCCCCACGCCCCTGGACCGTAGACATGTGTTCACACCACACAGACAGGAAGTACGGAGAAAGCAGCCCACTCCCTCCAGCCTCTTTCAATGAAATGATGACAGAATCAGCTGGGCGTCGAGGAGGCTGTTGGGGCAGGGCACAAACGGGATGTCCCCAGCCCTGAGTGGAAGACTGCCTCCCCTCTTCTGAAGTGGGAATGGGGTGCACCCAGGAGAAGGACTGAGGGCAGCTGGCAGAGAGCAGGTGACAACACAGGACAGCTCAGGCCAACCCTGTCCCAAAGCGCCAGGGAGGGCCACTGGAAGTTTCTGTCACCCTGGACAGTCCTCCCGCTTCCTGGACAGGTCTGCCAGAGATGGACGATGTGCCGGGATGGGATCAGAACTCCAGAAAGAGACAGAGAGACCCCTGCTCGGGGTGAAATGCCCTTGCAGGCCCGTGGGTCCAGTGCTGTCACACGGAGGGAAGGCGCTTTGTCCACTTTTTCCTGGAGACCATAATACTCAAATCCA